CTCATTAATAAATAAATAAAATATTTTTTAAAAATACTATTATAATAGAATATTATAAAAAATTATATGCCAACAAACTGTGCAACCTCAAAGAAATGGACAAATTCCTACAAACCTACAAACTACCAAAATTGAAATAGGAAGAAATACAAATTGGAACAAATCCACAACCAGCAAAGAAATTGAATCAGTAATAAAAAATTTCCCAAAGAACCAAAGTCCAGTGCCAGATGGCTTCCCAAAGGATCTCTAGTAGACATTTAAAGAAGAGTTAATACCTATTCTTCTCAAGCTATTCACAAAAATAGAAATGGGAGGAAGACTTCCAAACTTGTTTTTGGAAGCCAGCATTACCTTGGATCCAAAAACAAAGACCCCACTTAAAAGGAGATTCACATTCATCCTTTCTGATGGCTGAGGACTATTTCATTGTGTGTGTGTGTGTGTGTGTGTGTGTGTGTGTATATCACATCTTCTTTATCCATTCATCTGTTGAAGAACACCTTGGATGGACTTGAAGGGTATTATGCTGACTGAAGTAAGTCAATTGGAGAAGGGCAATCATCATATGGTTTCACTCATATGGGGAATATAAGAAATAGTGACAGGGATTATAAGGGAAAGGAGGGGAACTGAGTGGGAAAAATTAGAGAGGGAGACAAACTATGAGAGACTCCTAAATCTGGGAAATGAACAAAGGGTTGCCGAAGGGGAGGTGGGCTGGGGTTCAGGTAACTGGGTGACAGGCACTGAGGAGGGCACTTGATGGAATGAGCACTAGGTGTTATACTATATGTTGGCAAATAGAACTTCAATAAAAACAAATGAAAAAAATTAAAAATGAAAAAGAATTATAGACCAATATTCCTGATGAACATGGATGCAAAAAATTCTTAAGAAGATATGAGCAAATCAAATCTAATAGCTCATGAAAATAATTATTCACCATAATCAAGTTAGATTTATTCTGGGATGCAAGGATGGTTCGATATTCACAAATCAATCAATGTGATCAACCACATTAATAAAATAAAGAAAAAGAACCACATAATCTTAATGAATGCAGAAAAAGTATTTGGCAATATGCAGCATCCATTCTTGATAAAAACCCTTAAAAAGAGTAGTTATAAACATACCTCACATCCATAAAAACCTTGCTAGAAAAGATAAATTCAGTAAAGTTGAGCATAAAAAATCAATGTACAGAAATCTGTTGCATTTCTATATACCAATAATGAAGCAGCAGAAAAAGAAATTTATCTCAGTTACAATTGCACCAAAAAAACAGCAAGATACCTAGGAATAAACCTAAGCAAGGAGGTAAAAGATCTGAAAACTATAGGAAACTTATGAAAGAAATTGGATAGGACACCAAAAAATACAAAAAAAGTCCATGTTCATGTCTTAGGAGAACATTGAAGAAATGTCTAAATTACCCAAAGCAGTCTACACATTTAATGCCATCCTTATCAAAATATCAACAGCATTTTTCACAAAGCTAGAACAAACAATCCTAATATTTGTTTGGAACCATAAAAGATTCTGAATAGCCAAAGCAATATTGGAAAATAAATGCAAAACTAGAGGAATTGTTATTCTTGAATTCTAAGCTATATTACAAAATCATCAAGACAGGATGGTACTGGCACAAAAACAGATACATAAGTCAATGGAACAGTGTAGAAAAACCCATAAATGGATCCATAACTAAATGGTCAACTGATCTTTAACAGAGTAGAAAATAATATCCAATGGAAAAAAGTCTGCTCAACAAATGCTATTGGTAAAACTGGGCAGCAACATGCAGAAGAATGAAACTGGACTACTTTATTACACTATGCACAAAAATAAATTCAAAATGGAGAAACAGAGAAAGAGACAATCAAGAAAACTAAAATATAAACTACAGAATGGGAGAAGATATTTGCAAATGACATATCAGATCAGGGGCTAGTATCCAAAATCCATAAAGAACTCAAATTCAACACAGAAAAAACAAATAATCTATTTCAAAAATGGGCAGAAAGCATAAATAGACATTTTTCCATTCAGATATCTAACAGACACATGAAAAAATGCCCAATATCACTCACCATCAGAGAAATACAAATTAAAACCACAAGGAGGTATCAACTCACTCCTGCCAGAATGGCTAAAATAAACAACACAGGAAACAAAAGATGTTGGTGAGGATGCAGAGAAAGAGGAGCCCTCTTTCACTGTTGCTGGAATGCAAACAAGTGCAGCTACTCTGTAAATATTATGGAGGTTCCTCAAAATGTTAAAAATAGAAGTATCCTATTATACAGCAATTGCACTGTAGGTATATATGTATTATATATACATATATTGGAAGAAAAGAAACAAAAGACATATATATGTATTATATACATATATGTTATATTATATATGTATGTGTGTATATATGTATATATATTATATATGTATAATACATATATACCTACAGTGCAATTGCTGTATAATAGGATATATATATAATACAATGGAATATTACTCGGCCATTAAAAAGAATGAGATCCTGCTATTTGCAATTGCATTATAAGGTATTTACAAAAAGGATACAAAATTACAGATTCAAAGGTGTACATGCACCCTGATGTTTATAGCAGCATTATCAGTAATAGTTAAACTATGGAGATAGCCCAAATGTACACTGACTGATATATGGATAAAGAAGAGGAGATATATAAATACAGTGGAATATTAACCAGCCATCAAAAAGATAAAAAAATTCTTGCTATTTGCAATGATGTGAATGGAGCTAGAGTGAACCATGCTAAGCAAAATAAGTCAGATTTAGACAATATAACTTCACTCATATGTGAAACTTAGGAAACAAAACAGATGAACGTATGTGAAGGGGAAAAAAAGAGAGAGAGGGAAGCAAACCATAAGAGATTCTAAACAATAGAGAACAAACAGGGTTGTTGAAGGGAGGTGGGTGGGGCATGGGCTAAATTGGTGATGGGTATTAAGGAATGCACTTGTTATAGTAAGCACTGGGTGTTATATGTAGGTGATGAATCACTAAATTCTACTCATTACCAATGAGTATTGATAATGAGTAGAAATCAATATTACACTATATGTTAACTAACTAGAATTAAATTAAAATTTGGAAGAAAAGAAACAAAAGACATATAAACGGCCAACAGACACATGAGAAAATGCTCAACATTATTCATCATCAGAAAAATGCAATTTATTTTATTTTAAGGATTAATTTATTTATTTACTTATTTATTTGTTTGTTTATTTATTTATTTATTTATTGAGACTGGCACCTGAGCACGGGTGAGGGGTGAGGGAGAAGGAGAAGTAGACACCCTGATGAACAGGGAATCAAATGAGGGCCTGATCCCAGGATCCTAGGATCATGACCTGAGCCAAAGACAGAGTTTTAGCCAAGACACCCAGGGGCCCCAAGAAGTGCAGTTTAAAACCACATTGAGATATCACCTCACATTTGTCAGATTGTCTAAAATGAAAAACACAAGAAATAGTGATTATTGGTAAGGATACGGAGAAAAGGAAACCCTCTTGTACTGTTGGTGGGAATGCAAATTGGTGCACCCACTGCAGAAAACAGTATGGAGTTTCCTCAACAATTTATAAATAGAACTACCTTATGATCCAGTAATTAGACTACTAAGTATTTACTCCAAAAATACAGAAACACTAATTCAAAGGGACACACGCATCCCCTAAGTTTATGGCAGCTGCATATACAATAACCAAATTATGGAATCAGCCCAAGTGTGTATTGCTAGATAAATGGATAAAGAAGATGTGGTTTTATATACATAATTGAAAATTATTCAGCTATTTAAAGAAAACCAAATCCCTGCCATTTGCAAGGACATGGATGAAGCTAGAAAGTATTATGTTCACAAAATATGTCAATTAGAGAAAGATAAATACCATATTGACTTCACTCATATGTGGAATTTAAAAAAAAAAATTGACCAAAGGAAAAAGGAAGAGAGAAATAAACTAAGAAACGGACTCTTGACTATAGAGAACAAACTTACGGTTACCATATGGTAGGTGGTTGGGGAGGATGGGTGAAATAGGTGATGGGGATTAAGGAGTGCACTTGTGATGATAACTGGGTAATGTATGGAATAGTTGAATCACTATAGTGTAAATCTGAAACTAATATAACACTGCATGCTAAATACACTGGGAATAAAATAAAAAGTTAATGAATAATAAGTGGAAAAAATGATAGCAAGTATATTTTTAAAAACTATTCTGCTATGAAGTAAACCTAAAGCACTTAGAAGGTATAATAATTATAAAGTTTTTAATTTAAAAATGTAAAATTATAGTTAAAGATAGAATTTAAGGCAAAAAAAAAGACACTGTATAGACTTGGATCTTTTTTTTTAATTTTTATTTATTTATGATAGTCACAGAGAGAGAAAGAGAGAGAGGCAGAGACACAAGCAGGCTCCATGCACCGGGAGCCCGATGTGGGATTCAATCCCGGGTCTCCAGGATCGTGCCCCGGGCCAAAGGCAGGCGCCAAACCGCTGCGCCACCCAGGGATCCCTAGACTTGAATCTTTTGGAAAGACTTCCTACAAGGGCTGAAACTAAGAAACTAAGAGAGGCTTAGAGATAATCAGAAAGCACAGCTTCCATTACTCAATTTTTATTTAACTGTGGTTTAGGCTATTGATACACTTTAGCTAGCCTTACTTTTGTGTCATTTGATGTGGAGTTTTTTATGGAAAAAGAAAAAAAGAGGTTGATAAAAGGATTTATAGGCTGAAAGCTATTCAATCCACTTATGAGACACCATTAACAGCAAAATAATAAAGTGGAAAAACCACGTCTTTTGTGAAGCCACAATTCTTGATCCCTGTCTGAATTCATTTCTGCTAGTTCAAAAACACTGACTTTTGTTTAATTTGAAAAATAAAAACAACAAAATGTTTGTTCAACAACATAGTTTCTTTGTCCTTTGGGTTCTAGATTAAGAAGAAACAGCAAGATGTGCTTGGTTTTTTAGAAGCTAACAAAATAGGATTTGAAGAAAAAGACATTGCAGCCAATGAAGAGAATCGGAAGTGGATGAGAGAAAATGTACCTGAAAACAATCGACCAGCCACAGGGTACCCGCTGCCACCTCAGATTTTCAATGAAAGCCAGTACCGTGGGGTAAGAAAAAAATTAAAATCTAAACTCTTGTTTTATCAAATGTATCACCTCAAATACATCCAATCCCTTTTATCCCAAATTTGTATACAGCCTTTTTTTTTGTTCATCACTTCATCCATATTAGGCAGCTGGGATATTTTTACTAGAAAGCAAATGGATGAATCATGCCCCCTGAAATTTCCTGTAAATGGATAATACAGATCTTGAACACAGAGTTGTTCTTCCGTTTCTTTTTTTATGATCTTACTTTTAGGTAGTGTCTACATACAACCTGTGTATTGAATTCACAACCCCAAGACCAAGAACTGCATATTTTATCAACTAAGCCAGCCAGGCACCCTGCCTTTCCATTTCTTCTTAATTCTATATAGAGCAATTGCATTGTGTCTGCTATGTCCATGAAGAAGCTTTTGAGAAGTCAACTGCATATTTAGATGAAAAATAGTTTAAAAATAATAATACCTTATTTTCTCCTTTAAGTCAATAATACTTTTATTTTGGTATTATTAATGAATTTTCATAAAATGTTAAGTTAGCTGATTTAACTCATGTAAAGAACAAGGGAAACAAAAATGGATTTTTGCTTTGTGACTGGTGCTTTCAAGTATACCATGTTTAGTCTTTATTTAAAACATAGAGTAGTTTCCTTTAGTCTTCTGTCACTATATATTTAACATTTGAAGCTGGTGGCCATTCTTGCTACCATGGCAAGTACAAGTATAAATATAATAGTTTTCTTCTCTTAAGGAGCTGTTGGGAGTGAGGTGTGGGAAGAATCATACACACCTGAAACAATTGGAGTGTGGTTATGAATCCATTTCTATGTGATGAGATAGTACAAGAAGCAAATGTGAGGGCTATAGGAATTTCCAGTAAGGAATTGTTTGCCCTGCTATATCCTCAGAATTAGCATGACTGAAGAACAACTGTATTAGAGTCAGCAATCCAAATCTTCTAGTTCACAGATATATATATATATGCAAGTAAAAGGACACTTTTTGGTGGGGATCTTTATTCGTGTGTCAGTTCTGAAAATCTAGGGGAGGGAGCATGGAAAAATTGAGAACTTTATTGACACAAAATATTTTCTCTGTGGATTGAATTTTTAAGTTCTGAGGAGGGTCCTGAACATTTCATCTGTTGCTGCCCACAGGGCCGATGTGTAAAGACATACTCTGCAGATAAGGAAAAGGCAATAAGGCTATTCATTAAGATAATAAAACCTCAGTGATTCTCTAATTTCTGCAAATTGCTGCATCCCAGGAGCTGGAAGAGGCCTCAGAGGCCATCCAGTCTGATATAAGCCAGCAAATATTTTCTTAACTTTTTTTGAAGCAGGAATTTTAATTTGTTTGGACTTGAAAACAAACACATTTTAGGTTATAAGGGTAACAGTTGAGAAACCACATTGACCTGGCTTATTTCCCCATCAGAAGCCACAATTTAAGGGAATGTAGTATGTTACAGAAATCAGGTATCAGTGAGAAATAGGGAGCTGGAAAGGATGGAGCAGGAGGTGAGACTCGACCAAACAAATATTTGTTAATGGATAAAAGATCACATTTTTATTGAATGTCTGCTGTGTACCAGGCACTGTTAGGATTTTAATAACAATGAAAATTAAGATTTGTCCCTATACAGACTCTTAGGGAGAAGCGTATATAGTAACCATTCATAGAAAATATATGCTATGCCAGTTATTATATTACATGCTTTATGTGTATTATATTAGTTTTCATGCTAATCCCATGAGGTAGGTATTTTTATTCCTGTATTACAGATGAAGAAATTGAGGCCTAGAAGAAGGCTGACTTGCTAAATCTGTTTTATTCTAAAGCTCTTACTTTTTCTTTTAAACCAGTGTATATTTCATTTTCCTATTTATACAAAGATCCTATCTTTATTTTCTTCCTCCATTCTGTATTATAGAAGGGTTGCTGACCTCAGTAAGTTAAATTTCACAGTATTCATTGGTGACTGGCTATTAGGTTTGGCCAATAATGGGAGATACTGGTTGAAAGATTGGAGGACAGAGGAAAGGAAAAGCCAAGGTGTAACCCTCTGGCTTCTGGAGATGTCCATGACAGTGGCTGTGTCTGCTTTGTGGTACCAGGTATCCCAACTCTTGGGTTCTGTAATATCATCTTCTGCACTTTTTCCATTAGCTGTATAGCTGTGGTAGCAGCCTCTTGCTGTTGCTAATCTTTGGGTTCCCTTACCATTTCCTGTTTGCCTTTCATCAGTTCCTTTGTAAATAAATTCCTCATATTTTGTATTGAATTCCGTTGTTTAAAATATCTGAAGGTTTCTCAAACTTGGCACTATGGAGATATTGGATTGGAGAATACTTTGTTGTTGGGAGCTACCCTGTGCATCATAGAAAGTTTAGTAGCAACCCTGTCTTCTGTCTGTGAGTGCCAGTAGCACCCTCCCAGTTGTGAAAAACCAAGAATATCTCTAGACTTTGCCAGATTTCCCTGGGGGTGGGGGTGGGGAGTTATATCTTGTTGAGAACACAGTACTATGGATTAGGTTCTTATTTCCAGCCTGTAATGTGACTAAAACAACTAACCTACTACATAGATGAGGCTCTATTACATAGGTACATTTTTAAGGATAATCTTGATTCTGAAAGAGCTTATGCTATGTATATGAAGAACATTTTCATGAATTGATAATGATTATGATAATATACAGGTTAATGTTAGTGGAACCATAGAGGTGTAAACAAAATATCTTTTTTTTTCCTCAAGCAAATTCCTATAGAAGAAGCAGACTATATCACAATCTGTTTTGTTTACTCTTTGTAAATATTTTAAATTTGAATTCCCTAGGATTGAGCCATGAATAGATATGAAGATCTTAATGTTTTGTATACTCTTGTATTCTTAGCACCAAAAATGATTGGTATGTAGTAGGTACTCAATATGTATTTGCAAAATAAACTAATTTAATCTGACTTAATTGAGAAACTGGTGATGTTCTTTTGTCTTGGAGTTACAAATCTGTTTGTGTTTGCTAAGTCCAGGCCCCCAAAATGTTATTATACTGTGATCTTGAAACAGACAATTATAGTAGCATTTTATGATCATATTTCAATATAGTTGAATCTATATTCTTTCACATGAATTTAAAGACTGGCTTGAGTTATTTTTGAACAAAAGGTAAGGAATAACTCTTCTGTGACTGACTCTTTCAGCTAGCATTTTGAAGTTACTTCCAAGTGGTTGAGTGTAGAAATGATATATATATTGTTTGTTTATTTTGAGTAGTTTATAGGTCATGTGTCTCAGTATGAAATTGCTATCAATATCAAAATAGTTTCACTTTTGAAGAATAAGCTCATAGGAGGCTGTTCATAAATGCCTGTTGTTTAGGGTTTAATCCTTTGCCAAGATGTAGGGTACACAATAAGATGCTTTGAGTCAATTCCTGGGGAGATTTCAGTAGTGCTAAACAATTCTGATTGTGTTAGAAGATCCCTAAATAAGATAGAAACTTTGCTATTTCTTGGAGTAAGGTTCCAATTTAGGGTCATTAATGGCTTGAGAGATTCTCCAAGTACCAGAAATTATACATATATCTAAACTGTATATCTCCAGATTCTTCAAGTGCCAGGACTTAACCCTGTAATTAACAATATATTCATGAGGCAATCTCTAGAGAAACCAGCAAATTATGAATATTTTTCACCTACAATAAATCCACCAAGATGACAAACTTATTTTTGTGTGTTTTAAACAAAATAAGACCAGGTACCAACAATGGCTGTGTTTTCTAAGTAGATTTGCTACTGATTATATGTCATAGTCAAATTTAGGCAATTCTATTTGTCACTTCTAAAACATACTTGGTGGCTTAGAGGATGACAGTGGGAAGCCCAACCAAATTCAGTCATGTGAGGTTTTTCTTGGATCCTTGAATTGAAATATCTAAGTAGTTTGTTTGCTCTTCTGGTCATATTTCATGAAAATTACATTCCCTTCCTCCAAATACAGCATAGATTTATTACATGCATGGCCTAGTTAATATCAGGTATACTGTAGGTTCTGAGGATACCTCTACCTTAATAAATAATGAAAGAGAAATAATGGGGAACAGAAACAACAGCCTCCTACCAGAAATAACCAAACTCTTACTGACAAATAGTTGGTTGCTTTGGGTTGTGGAGAAAGTTACTTGACCTCAAACAGACTTAAATGCTATGTGATATGGAATAAGTCATTTTGCCATTTCTGCCCCACCAAACAGCATATATTCTAACCTATATTAAGTGGGATGTAATATGTCTTGCCTCTTTACTAGTCTTTCCAAAATTGTAGCATTTTGGAAGGTAGTTTGTATGCCCCCCAAAAGGTTGACCAATGAGTTAATTTTGAATAATTCAATCTTTTATTTCCTTTCTTGGTTGCATACTGCTAATTTTTCTTGCCTTCTTTTCATTAAGGACTATGATGCTTTCTTTGAAGCTAGAGAAAATAATGCAGTGTATGCGTTTTTGGGCTTGACAGCCCCACCTGGTTCAAAGGTATGATTCCTTTGTTTTCTTGCTTTATAATCTATTATATTACTGCTGGAATTTTTAGTCAGTGAGATTTCTACCTTTATCAAGTATTCAAGTTAAGCCAGAGGCAGTGTAACATAGGTAACAGAACTCTTCCTTCTCTGCATGTACTTAAATCCAGGTAGGGCACACAGGTAGGGCACACAATGCATAATCAAATACATAAAGTATATGAGTAGGATGTAGGTGGAGTGACTTCTCCATCAAGTTATCAAAAGCAGCAAATTTCTTATTGACCCATTTATAAATAATAAGTGGTTACCAATTTTAAAGACTCCATTATTTCAACTGTCATGCATGGTTCTACATCAACAGAACTCATCTTAGAACATAGTAATCTTCTTGGCAGCCTCTATTGTCTTTGTGTGAAAGCAAATGCTAGAGTCATGCATTCAAATCAAGTAAAAGCATTTGAGTTTCAAAACTGGTCACTAAATTGCTGGCTAAACTTGGGGCTTTCTCGCTGCCAATAACAAATTAATTTTTCTTTTTTTTAACAAATTAATTTTTCAAGTGGTAGTATTTCCAGGGGAGATCATATAAAGAAAAGAATGAAAAATTAAATTTCTTATTTAATGAAATATCTTAAAGCTATGGACATTAAATATACTTTGCCTTTTACCATGTTCTTTTCTACACACGCTGGCATAATCAGAATGTATGATTCCTGTTCTATCATTTTATCTTTTGTTGTTAGCAACTAATTTTATGTTGAACAGATTCATTGAACTCCAGCTCCTTCTCCAATTTTGAGGGTCTGTTATTGTTCATGTTCTCAGCAGAGACCCATTTACTAGCATTGTTGTCTGAGTCACTGTGAAATTCTGTTTCCTTAATGAATTCTCTTTTTCCATGAATAAAATATCTTCTTTTAGACTTTGTATAATTTAAGGCATAAGAAATGTTAGGTAAGATATTTTGTTTAATCACGTTAGGGGAGGCACGGCAAGATGGCAGAAGAGTAGGATCCCCAAGTCACATGTCCCCACCAACTTACCTAGATAACTTTCAAATCATCCTGAAAACCTACAAATTCGGCCTGAGATTTAAAGAGAGAACAGCTGGAATGCCACAGTAAGAAGAGCTCGTGCTTCCAAAAAGGTAGGAAGACAGGGAAAAAATTAAATAAAAAAGCATCCAAGGGGGAGGGGCCCCAGTGAGGAGCCTGGCTAAGATCAGGCGGTGAGTGCCTCCAGGACCGAAAAGCCCAGTCCCAGAGAAGCAGGAACTTTACCAATCTTCCCGGAAGAAAAGGTGATTGCAGTAGCTCCCGCAGGATCCCAGGAGGGGCAGTGGAGACCGCAGGTTCCCGGGGTCACTAACAGAGGAAGTGCGCACCGGGAAGAGCACACCACACACTCCGACCGAGCTCCCTAAAGGGATGGAACACACGCCCAGCGGGGCCTTGGGAGCAGGTCAAGCAGCAGCTCAGGTGGCAGCTCCATGTGGAGGGGTCTGCGCGGCCACGAGAGCATGATTCCAGTGGCGCAGTCCCCGGATCCCAAGGCACAGGGGACACAGCCTAGGATCCAGTGCTCCCCTTGGGGCAGGCAGAAGCCGGGAGGACACAGGACAGCAAGAACGCTACTAGCACCAGGCGCCTGGAGCTATGCAGATCAGCGCCCCCCGCCCGCCCCCGGAGCATCAAGGCCCCTGCGGACTGGGAGCTGTGTTAGTTACTGCTGGAGCTGACTCTAGAGCTGGAGATCTGGGTGCCACCACTGTTCTTCCTCCTGATGTCGCCTTGTACCTGGGACTGAGTGAGGATGCCAGGGAGTAGGGGACTCATGGGATAAACAGCTCCCACAGAACAGTGCACCTGGCAGGGGGGCGGGGCATCTTTCCCAGGTGCACACACCTGAGAATCAGCACAGAAATCCCCTCCCCCAGAAGACAAGCTGGAAAGACAAGGGAAAAGCAAGTTCTTAACCAAGAAGTTCTGGAATGCTCCAGGAGAAGTCTAGGGACTTACAGTATATAGAATCAGAGGATACTATTCCTTCTTTTTTTGTTGTTTTTTGTTTGATTTCCCCTCCCCCCCTTTCCTTCATTTTACCAGTAAACTTGTTTTTAGCCACTCTGCACTGAGCAAAATGACTAGAAGAAAGAACTGACCACAAAAGAAAGAATCAGAAACAGTCCTCTCTCACACAGAGTTACAGAATTTGGATTACAATTCAATGTCAGAAAGCCAATTCAGAAGTACAATTATAAAACTACTGGTGGCTCTGGAAAAAAGCATAAAGGAATCAAGAGACTTCATGACTGCAGAATTTAGAGCTAATCAGTCTGAAACTAAAAATCAATTAAATGAGATGCAATCAAAACTGGAGGTCCTTACAATGAGGGTTATTGAGGTAGAAGAACAAGTGGGTGACATAGGAGATAAGTTGATGGCAAGGAAGGAAGCTGAGGAAAAAAGAGAAAACAATTAAAATATAATGAGGAAAGGTTAAGGGAAATAAATGACAGCCTCAAAAGGAAAAACCTACATTTAATTGGGGTTGCAGAGGGCGCCGAAAGGGACAGAGGACCAGAAAGTGTATTTGAACAAATCATAGCTGAGAACTTCCCTAACTTGGGAAGGGAAACACGCATTCAGATCCATGAAATAAAGAGGTCCACCCCCCCCCGCCAAAAATCAATAAAAATCATTCAAAACCCCGACATTTAATAGTGAAACTTATGAATTCATAAGATAAAGAGAGGATCCTTAAAGCAGCAAGAGACAAGAAATCCCTAACTTTTATGGGGAGAAGTATTAGGTTAACAGCAGACCTCGCCACAGAGACCTAGCAGGCCAGAAAGGGCTGGCAGGATATATTCAGAGTCCTCAATGAGAAGAACATGCAGCCAAGGAAACAATATCCAGCAAGGCTCTCATTCAGAATAGGAGGAGAGATAAAGAGCTTCCAAGATATGCAGAAACTGAAAGAATATGCGACAACAAAACCAGTTCTGCAAGAAACATTAAGGGTGACTCTGTAAAAGAAAGAGGAAGTCCAAGGAAACAATCCATAAAAACAGGGACTGAATAGGTATTATGATGACACTAAATTCATATCTTTCAAGAGTAACTCTGAGTGTGAATGGGCTTAATGATCCCAACAAAAGGCACAGGGTTTCATACTGGAAAAAAAAGCAAGACCCAACTATTTACTGTCTACAAGAAACTCATTTTATTTTTTTTTAATTTTTATTTATTTATGATAGTCACAGAGAGAGAGAGAGAGAGGCAGAGACACAGGCAGAGGGAGAAGCAGGCTCCACACACCGGGAGCCCGACGTGGGATTCGATCCCGGGTCTCCAGGATCGCGCCCTGGGCCAAAGGCAGGTGCCAAACCGCTGCGCCACCCAGGGATCCCAAGAAACTCATTTTAGAAGTAAGGACACCTCCAGCCTGAAAATAAAAGGTTGGAGAACCATTTACCATTCAAATGGTCCTCAAAAGAAAACAGGGGTAGCCATCCTCATATCAGATAAATCAAAGGTTACCCCAAAGACTGTAGTGAGAGATGAAGAGGGACACTATATCATACTTAAAGGATCTATCCAACAAGAGGATCTAACAATCATGAATATTTATACCCATAATGTGAGAGCTGCCAAGTATATCAATCAATTAATAACCAAAGTTAAGACATACTTAGATAATAATACACTTATATTGTGAGACTTGAACACAGTGCATTCTGTAATCGACAGATCATCTAGGCACAACATCTCCAAAGAAACAAGAGCTTTAAATGATACACTGGACCAGATGGATTTCACAGATATTTCCAGAACCTTACATCTAAATGCAACTGAATACACATTCTTTTCAAGTCCATGTGGAACTTTTTCCAGAATAGACCACATATTGGGTCACAAATCAGGTCTTGACAGATACCAAAAGTTTGGGATTGTCCCCTGCATATTTTCAGACCATAATGCTTTGAAACTAGAACTAAATCACAAGAAGAAATTTGGAAGGAATTCAAACACGTGGAGGTGAAAAACTATCCTGCTAAAGATGAAAGGGTCAACCAGGAAATTAGAGAAGAATTTAAAAGATTCTTGGAAACTAATGAGAATGAAGATACAATCATTCAAAATCTTTGGGATACATCAAAAGCAGTCCTGAGGGGGGAATATATCGCAATACAAGCATCCATCCAAAATCTGAAATGAACTCAAATACAAAAGCTAACCTTGCACCTTAAGGAGCTAGAGAAAGAACAGCAAATACATCCTCCACCCAGCAGAAGACAGTTAATAGATACTCCAGCAGAACTCAAAAAAATAGAGACCAGAAGAACTGTGGAACAGATTAACAAAACCAGGAGTTTGTTCTTTGAAAGAATTAATAAGATAGATAAACACTAGCAAGCTTTATTATAAACAAAAGAGAAAAGACTCAAATTAATAAAATCATGAATGAAAAATGAGAGATCATCACCAACACCAAGGAAATACAAACGATTTTAAAAGCATATTATGAGAAGATATCTGCCAATAAATTAGGCAATCTAGAAGAAATGGACACATTTCTGGAAAACCACGAACAATCAGAACTGGAACTGGAAGAAATAGAAAACCTGAACAGGCCAATAACCAGGGAGGAAATTGAAGCAGTCATCAAAAACCTCCCAAGACACAAAAGGCCAGGGCCAGATGGCTTTCCAGGGGAATTCTATCAAACGTTTAAAGAAGAAATCATACCTATTATATTAAAGCTGTTCTGAAAAATAGAAAGGGATGGAATACTTCCAAACTCGATCTATAAGGCCAGCATCACCTTAATTGCAAAACTAGACAAAGACCCCACCAAAAAGTAGAATTATAGACGAATAACCATGATGAACATGGATGCAAAAATTCTCAACAAGATACTAGCCAATAGGATACAACAATACATTAAGAAGATTATTTACCATGACCAAGTAGGATTTATCCCCAGGATGCAAGGCTGGTTCAACAC